TTTACATGTTTGAGTTCTTAATTTGCTATTAGTTCTAGCAAATTTCCTAGAGTTAGGTTTCTATTATGTCTTGTTAAAAGTTTTGTCAAAAAAATTCATAAACACTAATTCCTATTAGGTTTTTCCTTGAGTCTTGTTGTGGCTGAAACCTATTACAATTTTATAAAAATTAAAACAGAGACAAAACAGAGGTGTAAGTTTTCTAAATGCATGAGAAAAACAAAAGAATGAGTGCTTAAAAATTTGACCTAAAAATACTACAAAATTGTGAAGCACTAGTTACAAAATGCATGTGAACACCTCTTGTTTTGTGTGAGATTTTTGCTGCAGTTTTTAATGACTTAAATCCGAGACTTATATGTGTTAAAAGGCATTTGAACTCCTGAAAATTAAAAGAAAAAGAAGTGAAAATATTTTGCCAAAAAGAAAAGAAAGAAAAAGAAAAAGAGAAAACAAACACTGGGTTATGCTTTTTATCAGGTATCATGTGATGCTATTTTTTTTTTCTTTCACAATAGATTTTTTTTTATTTCGATTGACTTCTCGATTATTTGCTATTAATAGTAAATAAAAAAAAACTACAACTTGACTACATATATAAGTTATATTAATCAATCAATCACAAAAAATTCAACAAACTATAAAGAAATGGAAAAAAAATTATTTTTATACATACATATATATAATATTATATATATATATCTATATATATATATATATATATATATAAACTTATAGAGGAGTTTAAAATCATCTAAAATACAAAAAATAAATACATATAAATTGAATAACTATAAACAGGCTATAATATTTGGATATATCTTTCACAATAATAACTCCTAATATTAAGGAAGCAAATCATGACTTAATACTCTAACACGTCCCTGGAAGATAGTGAGGCCTAAACGATACTAAAAATTTGCTACCAAAAAGAAGCTTAGTGAGAGTTGATGCATGCCAAAAGAAAGGTGTGATACATGGAGTGTTTTTCCAGCAACTAGATCATGAATAAAGTGAATATCAATGGCAACATGCTTCATTTAGAGTGAAATACTCGATTTGCACAAACAAATGTAGCACCAATATTATAAGACAAAATTGTTGGAGGTGTAGCACTTCAATGGAAGAACGAGCTACAATTGATTATTGCTTACAGGACTAAGAGATGGCATTAGCACCAAGGTATACTATGTAAGCAATACTGGACTTCTAACTAGAAGTGTCAACTCTTTAATCAGCATCACAATCCAGATGAAGTCCATGATCTATCGCTCTTTTGAGATAGAATACACTATAAGAAATGTTACATATAATTACATACAAAAAGTGTCACTATAAGTAATATATGTAGGTATATATCTATTTGAATGTTTTATGGAAGGACTTTGTGCAGTGAGGGGACGTATGTGTGTAGTATGAATTTCTCAATTCTCTCTGATGCTCTCTGTTCATTCTCTAACTATTTCTGATCTTTCTTCTCACCATTCTGATTAGGTTCTACATTGTCGTGGCTGCTGACGAACGTTCTGTTATTCAATAGTTGATGTTTCATTTCTTAAAATATGTGTTGTTGAGACTATTTCGTTGTTTCATTCTGAATATACTCGTTTCAATTCCAGAATATTCAGTTGCTATCTTATAAAACATTATACTATAAAACTACTGTTTCATTGGTGCTTTCATTGACTCCATGGCTGAGAACACTCGTTTGAAAGAATTGCAAACTGAAATTCGTGGTCAAGCGGCGAATATCAAGAAGTTGATGGATCTCTTGTTTCTTCCATTTCCAGTAATGTTTCTCAGCCCAACCCTAAATCCGTACTCAAATCTTCACTTCCACCATTACTACCAACTCCTAACACACCACCATTAAAAGATTCAACTGTTAAAAAAATAAGTGCAGCAAAGATGCAAATTCGTAGGGAGAAGGGATTATGTTACTTTTGTGATGACAAGTTTACGTTCAACCATAAATGTCCGAACAGGCAGTTCATGTTTTTGCAATTAGATGAAACAAGCAATGAGGAAGAACCTTCTTCTCTTGACACTGGTCAGTCAATCATATTTGAGGAAACCATTGTTGATAATCACCATTTGACACTTAATGCTCTAAAAGGGGCACTGGTGTGGGCACCATCAGATTCTTAGCTTATGTTGATACATTACCTATTTCAGTGTTGATTGATGGTGGTAGTTCGGACAATTTTTTGCAACCTCGTATTGCAAAGTTCTTAAAACTTCTAGTTAAGCCAGCTCCGGCATTCAGGGTGATGGGGGGCAATGGTAATTATATGGCAGCTGGAGGCTTGGTTCAGAACTTGACTATTCAGGCTCAAGGTAATATGTTTCAGTTACCCATCTATCTTCTTCCTATTTCAGGTGCAGATCTTATATTGGGTGCTAATTGGTTGAAGACTTTGGGGCCTCATGTGGATGATTATGCTGCGTTGAATCTGAAGTTTTTATATAATGCTAAAATTGTTACTTTACAAGGTGAAGTAGACCATGTTCCTGTGCAGGCTCATTTGCATCATATTTGTCATATGGTTAATACTCATTCAATAGTTGAAGTGTATACAATGCAGATGGTGGATTCCACTCCACCAAACATGCCTTTACCAGAGTTGCCTATTGATATGGAGATCAAATTGGCCTTGCTCTTGCGTAATTATGTTACTGTGTTTTTGATACACTGACTTCTTTACCTCCTTCTCGGGCACAAGATCATTTAATTCCCTTAATGGATGGTACTGGACCAATCAAGGTGAAATCGTATCGTTATCCTCACAGCCAAAAAGAAGAAATAGAGAAGTTAGTCGATGATATGCTCAAAGCAAGAATTATTCAACCCAGCAAGAGTCCTTTTTCTTCTCCAATCATCCTTGTTAAAAAGAACGATGGTTCTTGACGTGTATGTATCAACTATTGTGCTCTTAATGCTATAACTATCAAAGATAGTTTTCCCATACCCATGGTGGACGAATTAATTGATGAATTATTCGGTGCTTCCTTCTTTACGAAGCTAGATCTATGTTCAGGTTACCATCAGGTTCTATTAAAACCTGAAGACAAACATAAAACTACTTTTCATACGCATCATGGACATTTCGAGTGGTTAGTCATGACCTTCGTCTATATGAATGCTCCAGCCACGTTTCAAGCTCTTATAAATTTTATTTTCAAAGATATATTGAGGAAGTTTGTTCTTATTTTCTTTGATGACATCCTCATATATAGTTCTTCATGGAATGATCACCTCTATCATTTGGAAGTGGTACTGTGCCTTTTACAACAACATCAGTTGTATGTGCGTTTTTCGAAGTTTTCATTCAGGGTCAAAGAAATTGAGTACTTAGGCCATACTCTTTCTAGTCGTGGGGTAGCCATGGATACATCTAAGATCGATT